GATCTGTCAGTGGGTGCTTGCACCCGATACGGGGTGACAGTAAACCCTGTCAGATAGTGACACATCGTAGAGTTATTCTGCAGAGGGACTTCACTGAGCAAGAATATAACAAACCACGTAAGTAACTCTAGCAAATCGTGAATAATAATTGTAAATGCATACACAATGTTATCATAAGTATTCGAACACCATAGTTCCCTTTCACCACCACCTTATCAATAGCCAGATGACGACCCTGGAGGACCTAGGCTACTCAGTGTCAAACAGCGCCAGGCGCCCCAACATCTACTCCCAACTGCTAGAGCCAGCACACACATGCGTGCCACCTTTCTCTTTGTCACCACTGCCACATGGAACTCCCTCCCGGCTGCCATTCGTTCTGTATCCAGCCCAAAATGTTTTACCGCCCTTGTCCGCACACACATTGCTATCATCCGTGATGAGCCCTCTGGTTTCATTCCAAGTAGAGTAGCGATGTCATAGAGCAGTGTGTTATATTACTACCACCCCGCATCATTCTATTTCCAATTTTTATATTTCTCCTCAGCTTCTTCTTCATAAGCTGTTGACGGAGACTCCCTCGACTTAGGCTAAGGCCTGTGGAGAATCCATAAATACAAATACAAACCAACTAAAAACTCGACCAAGAGATGGTAGATAGATATCTACTGTATCGTCTCTTGGGCTGACCTTCTAGTTTTCATTGCTGCTGGTGTCTCTGGGCCCATCTGCAAGCGCATCGCCAGTTTTTTTTTGTCTCCTTCGAGCTACGCTGCATTTCCTTGATTTTGTCTATCATTAGATTTTGACGATCGCCTTCGCCTCTCCCTCGTTATATTATTATTAGAAGCTTCTCCGCGTTGGCATCAATGCAATGTAGATATACACAGCATGTATTGCTTTCGCATAAGCCGAAGCGACAACAGCCAAACAGGATATTGATGGCGATATAAAACATATGCGATATAAAACGCGTGACGAAAATAGAATACAATTAAAACAAGCAAAAGAGCAGCTCAACCGAGTTGAATTTGAACTTGCTGATCAATCTCAGGGTTCATCTGTGAGCAGCAACATATCTCTCCAGGATACGGCTGCTGAGGTAGGTCCACGCCCCGCGATTCTGGGCGATGCTCCTCAGCTCCTCAAGATCTGCCGAGGTCTTGAGGGTCCTCCCAACCAGCTCGAGATCGTGTCTGAGCACGACCGGCAGAGTTGTGCGCGGCCTGCCCCTCCAGGTAGGCTCAGTGGATGGTGTTGCGCAACGGGTCTAGAGTGAAAGACTTTTCATGGCTTATTTATGTTGTTCTTTAGTTTTATTGTGTAGTGGTTTAGTCTTGACTTTGTTGCATTGTTTTGGTTGCATGTGCAGTCTTCTGTACATGTATACACCATGCAACGCTTACGTCATCGTCGCGCGTGCAACATTATTTCGTGCGCATGCTCATTATATACTGCCGCAACGTTTGTCCTTTTCTGGAGTTATCAGTTTTGCCTTGTCGTGTCCAGTCTTCTCGTCTGTCCGTCTTTGTCTTGTCAAGATATTATGTAGAACTTTTAGTTCAGTTGCGCTGTTGTGTGTGGCGAGTCGGATGGGCGGGGAGGCTGGGCCCCTGACGCCTGGAGAAGATGTGCTGGTGCACGAAATTGGCGATCACGCCAGGATTGTCAGGAAGACGAGGAACTTGCAGGAACTCCGGTGCGAAGGAAAACGCATCGAGAACAAATAACCATTAGTACGTCTACGTCGTTGGGAGGCAGTTTGCACCGTGCATGCGTGGACGAGTGACCAACGAGGGAGCTGCGCCGCTGTCCGCAGTTTGTACCTGGGATCGTGTGACCTCCGAGGGAGCTGCTTGAGTCCGACGACAAGGACGGTGCGAAGGAAAACGCATCGAAATCAAATAACCATTTGTACGTCTACGTCGTTGGGAGGCAGTTTGCACCGTGCACGAGTGGACGAGTGACCAACGAGGGAGCTGCGCCGTTGTCCGCAGTTTGTACCTGGGATTGTGTGACCTCCGAGGGAGCTGCTTGAGTCTGACGACAAGGACGGTGCGAAGGAAAACGCATCGAAATCAAATAACCATTTGTACGTCTACGTCGTTGGGAGGCAGTTTGCACCGTGCCAGACTGGACGAGTGACCAACGAGGGAGCTGCGTCGCTGTCCGCAGTTTGTACCTGGGATTGGGTGACCTCCGAGGGAGCTGCTTGAATCCGACGACAAGGACGGTGCGAAGGAAAACGCATCGAAATCAAATAACCCACGGTACGGTCGTCCACAGTGGAGGAACCCTGCGGGGCGCTGTTCTCGACGACAAGAAGAAGGACATGGAGGGTGCGAAGGAAAACGCATCGTGAACAAATAACCCGCCATGAGTGCGAAGGAGTTTAGAAGGTGCTCCCGCTTTGATTTGTTGTACAAGTTTGTAGTTTTGATTTGCTCGATTTGTGTGATCTGTACTCGATGTGTTGGTGCCTGGCCTGGTGATAGGTAGGATGTATTGTTGGCCCCGTAGGTGATTTGTTTGTGCCTGGCCTGGTGATGGGTCGGATGTTGACTGTAGTTTATTGCCTTGATTTGCTGGTGCCTGGTGACAGTTCGGAAGCTGACTTCCGTTTGTATTTTCTATTGATCGTTCATTTGTTATTATTTATTTTGCCGTTTGTGAGTCTTAGATTATCTATGCGTGCAGCATGGATTATATGTAGTACAGTTTGCAGCCTCCTTGAGCCTTGAAAAGGTCTTTGGCGGGGAGTATGTTGCGCAACGGGTCTAGAGTGAAAGACTTTTCATGGCTTATTTATGTTGTTCTTTAGTTTTATTGTGTAGTGGTTTAGTCTTGACTTTGTTGCATTGTTTTGGTTGCATGTGCAGTCTTCTGTACATGTATACACCATGCAACGCTTACGTCATCGTCGCGCGTGCAACATTATTTCGTGCGCATGCTCATTATATACTGCCGCAACGTTTGTCCTTTTCTGGAGTTATCAGTTTTGCCTCGTCGTGTCCAGTCTTCTCGTCTGTCCGTCTTCGTCTTGTCCAGATATTATGTAGAACTTTTAGTTCAGTTGCGCTGTTGTGTGTGGCGAGTCGGATGGGCGGGGAGGCTGGGCCCCTGACGCCTGGAGAAGACGTGCACGTGCACGACAGATGGCTTGAAGTAGGAGCACATTGACAGGTTCGCCGGTGCACTCTGGTCCAGCCGCAGCACGTGCCCAAACAGACGCCAGCGGGCTCCCAGGATCGAGATACCAAGTGGTGTTGAGTTTGTCCTCTCCCTCGTGCAGTGCAAATATCAGAATAGCTATAGGGGTTTACACCCGACGTTGCGACGAAACCTTCAAATAAGGCGAACAGGTAAACCACCACACACCAGATTACTTCTCATCACCTTGTTCCACTTACTGACAGTCTGTGTCATACAGTCCGACCGTATGCGCTCATCCCTGGTGTATGAATCAATGGGCCACTACCGGTAGAAGTACACTGTCACTGGAGACGAGATGGAGCTTTCGCATTGGCTTGGTGCAACGATAACGCCTCGCGGCTCCGAAAACTCCACACCATCCACAAACCGCATCCGCAGAAAACTTCACTGTTTGTTCATTTCAGTTTTCCAGCCAGTTTCTCGTGGGAAAGGCGACTCCAGGGGTGTTTTTTTTTGAGTCGTCGGCCCCCACATCGTGGACGACTGCGAGATACATCAGTGAGCTGGACAACCTGCACTAGTTTCTGGATGACGCGTTTGCAGAAAATTCTGCCCAGGAAACAGAGACTGCAGTGACTTTAATCTGTCAGGAGGGAATCAAGAACGATCGCCCTGGAGTTCCTGGTACTCCGTGACAATTCTCCATCGTATTGGGGGTCTTGATATCAGCACCAGGCCTTCTCAGTGTTGCAGGTGAAGCAACAAGAGTCCTCTGACGACAACATTTGAACGCGAAACGCAAGAGTCGTCTAGGAGTTTGAGGTGCTGCCTCCTTTGGAGTTTTGAGCCATTCCTTCCTCAATGTCACAAATCGACAACTGAAGGACACTGTAAGGTAGCTTGGAAGTTTATTCCGTCCTGAGATAATTTGAATTTGCTTGGTAGGCTTTGGAAACGAAGCGCACATTTTAGTACGTCGGACCAAGTAGAACATAACCACTGGCCAGTGGGTATACTTTAGTAGAGCTACAACATAACCACTGGCCAGTGGGTATACTTTAGTAGAGGTACAACATAACCACTGGCCAGTGGGTATACTTTAGTAGAGGTACAACATAACCACTGGCCAGTGGGTATAATTTAGTAGAGGTACAACATAACCACTAGCCAGTGGGTATACTTTAGTAGAGGTACAACACAACCACTGGCCAGTGGGTATACTTTAGTAGAGGTGAACGATAAGGGAAAAGGTACTGTAGTTCCTCCAAGGGTACACAACCCCCAAGAGTGTGCTACTGCAGTTTTGTTGTAACACGTTATGAGATGGCAGGATTTCACATCACATGACGAGCTTGCACACAGTATGTTCACACTGTGCATGATAGAAAGAGGGTTGAACGCAACCCTGTTTTGGATTCAACTCTCCTGTGGTCACTTTGCACTGCTTGCCAGCGTAACCTTTTGAATCACGTGTGATGTGAAGTTCTGGCGTAGCAGCACTCGATAAAGGTTGTGTGGGCAGTTGCACACTCTTGGGGTTATGTACTCTTTGTATCACTAATCTGCGGTTATGAGTTCTGTTCATGGGGACCACTGATCCAAGTGTTTTTTTGTGGATTTCATGTCAAGTTCCAGCCAGTATTTACTATGTCCCTGTCCTCTACCACACACACTATTAAAGATGAGATATGCTGTGTTTTTGGAAACAAGTCATTTGCACTTTGATTACATGTGTATGGTACTATGCTGCAATAGAAAGGAAAAATCTGTAACTTGTATGCTTTGCGGGTGATTGTAAGAATGTGTATGTGTGTATGTGTGTGTTTGTTGCTATGGTGACCTAATAGTTCTGCAACCCAGCATCACTTCTACATGTCTGCGCGTTCCGTGGACATAAAGCACTGTGTGAGCTGCTGATAAAAAATGGTGTCGACGTTAATGTCCAAGATGAGGTGAGCTTTGGAGGTGGAATGCACCTATAAAATGCGCTTTGCAACAAACTCTTGTGACATCAAGTATTTTTCAAGGACACCAAACCATTTGTCCTCATGTACTGAACATTGATGCGTACATAGTGCACGGCCTCATGTATGCCCGGGCTGTAGCTGCCACATATTTGACTGGTCCGGAGAGACATTTTTAACTTAAAATGATATGACCGAATCAAGTTACTACAATGTACCAGTTCATGTAGTGCACCTATACAGGTTATACAATTACATCGTCAGTTGAAATGTTTTTGGCGAAGTCGCAGATTCGTGAGTGATCGTGGCACAGCGCCGCATATTGAACACATTCCAAAATCTGCTGACTCACCCTCGTATACTAGTGTGTCCATTCGAAAATCTCTATGAAATCATTGATATAACCTCTAGATGTATACGAATTCTCATAACTTGGAGAAGGATGATTGACACGGTCTTGTGTGGATTGAATAAACGTCTTCAGGCTGCGAAGTGCACTGAATGACCTCTCCGATGTGGCGTTCGGGGCTGGAAGAATAAGCAGCAGGTGAACCAACCAGCAGGCAGGCAATGACTTGTACAGCTGGTGCAAAGTGAGCAGCTCAGTTCCTTACAACTTACAGCCTGTTTGGGCGCGTTCCTGTCACTCGAGTTGAACCCCCTTTGAACCTTTGAGTTGAACCTTGGTGTAAAAATGTTGTAGCATGCAGGCACGATGACCAGGTGACTGGTGTACGGACAAGCACGTGACCGCTTACTCACCCGTGTTTTATTTGGGAATAAGGGCCAAACGCTGCATCGCAGCCTTCTTGGAACAATACCAGTCGGCTCAGCATCCAAAAGACTACAACATATTATGGGCCAATCGTGTTCATCCGTGCTTTCATAAGAACGAACTGGCGCTTTTAGTGACATTTTGCATACAAACCCCCCTCTGTGAAATAGTGGTTGCGACTTCGGCGATGATTTTTTTCTAGGAAAGGGTTTGCTGCCACACCGGAGTCAAGTGTCAAGTCAAGTCGTCGGAATAGCGCGAGCTCCAGTGTGGGAGCAAACTCTTTCCTAAATCCCCCTCTGATAGTGTCACCCAGTTTCGGTGGAAGAGCGTGAGTTCGATTGGGGATAAAGGAGGAAGCGTCTCAAATTCCTCGGACCAAGACCATTCGACTCAGCATCCTGAAGACAGAAAGATGGCATTATAGACCAATCCCGAAAAGATTGTCTGGATTCGAAAGGGGGCATGTCAACTGAGAGTACACTGTACAACACATACATGGCACTGGTAGCCACTACCTGATCAGCATGCGGCACAGGACGTGTTTGATAGTTCGCGAGTGAATGCGAGGGTAAGTACACGGTTAATCCCTGCACCCGTAAATATGCAAGCACCTCCAAGTGAACCCGCACGCCCAGCTTGGGCACTCGTGCACCCACGCAGTCACCACGCCACTGGCGTACCCATGCTCTGACACGCAGACACCCGCACGACGTACCGCTCACTATGGCGTGCACAAACATACAATAGACACATTGGGTTGGGGGTTGCCAGGATTTCTTTCGAACAATTCAAATATTCAAGAATATGCTCTTTTCGTACAACACTCATCAGGAATCGTCGTTCTACTAAAGGACACTGAAACAAAAATTGAACTATTATAGAAAATCTAAGTTAGAGAAATAACACTAAGAGCAACAACAGTGAAATTTACAAGTGTGAATTTTAACAATCAAAGCGAGAAATGAAGTCACCTTATTTACAACTTTGAATGCCGACAATGCGCTAGTCGGTATGTTGGTAGGACTGTTCAGCACCTGAACGCACGCATCAAACAACACACACCACGTCACATACTTCCACCTTGCGCACAACAACAAAGACCGAAGCGAGGGCGACCTAGAAAACAACCATTAACCACACAGCCGTTGCCTACACAACCCGCGGATCCTGGCTCACAGACTGTGCTTGCTCCGCCGTCGTTGGTGGCGGTGGTGGAGGAGAATGTGCGTGTTGGCTCATCGGGTCAGCTTGTGTCGCCGCCTTTGCTCCGGCCGTCGGTGGTTCCCTCGTCCGTGCCCCCGGCGGCTTTGGCTGAGGCGGTGCCGCTTGCGGTCCCGGTCCCACTGCCTCCTCCTGATCCTCCGCCATCGGTTCTTGCGGCGGTGGAGCTTGCCAGTGGCAGACCGCGAGCAACACTGACAGCTGCATTAACACTACAAATGCCGACTCAAAAAGACCCACCTTGCATATCAGTAACTCCCACACCAACACCAACAACGCAATCTACAGCAACCACGACTAATCCGCCATCCAAGCCCATAATTGAAAGACCAAGACGATCAACAGCCAACTACAACAGAAGCTACGCACTCAGCGGACGAGGGCGAAAGGAGGGACGTGACAGCAGGGTGACGGCCGAGTTGAGTTCAATGGACCCGGTCAGACGGGATGGACGAGACAGAGAGAGTACAGAGGAAGCGGAGGATGGAACGGATGGCGTAGGGAGCAGTGAGTCGGAGAGCAGTGAGTCGGAGAGCAGTGATGGGAGTGATGGTGAGAGTGCCGGTGGGAGTGTTAGTGTTGTGCGTAGGTTTCGTGGTAGCAAGTCTTCAGTGTACAATCATCTGCTGGCTAGTCCTGATTGTTGCGGTGCGTATTCCGACTCTTCGTTCACTGTATTGTGCCGTGGTCGTCATGGTTATGGACTACAGTTAAAAGTGTTGGAAGCTATCTATCAGCGTCTGTACAAGCCTAATTTGTGCGTACAGAAAGATAGTATAATTGGGTTGAAATTGTTCAAGTAACGTGTCGTGTTTAGTGCGGCCAAGCTTGGCCGTTAATGTTCTAGGTGTAATGTACTGCTGTTATGTGTTATCACGTTGTCTTTCCTTCCTTTCTCCTTTGTTCATTTCTCGCTTTGATTGTTAAAATTCACACTTGTAAATTTCACTGTGTTGCTCTTAGTGTTATTTCTCTAACTTAGATTTTCTAAAATAGTTCAATTTTTGTTTCAGTGTCCTTTAGTACAACGACGATTCCTGATGAGTGTTGTACGAAAACTTGTTTGAATCCATATTTTTTCCCTACACCATTTCTTCATATTTTCATCGTAATATGCTCTTTGATAATAATTGAGTGAGTGAAGATGCATGCCTGAAACTAGCATCCGCCCGCCAAGGGCGGACAAATGGCCACCGCGGCCAGCAGCTGCACGCCGGGGGCTAAACTAGCATACTGCCCACCGAGGGCGCCCGAATGGCTAAACTAGCCGACTGCCCACAGAGGGCGCGCGAATGGCCGCCGAGGCCAGCAAACTGCCCGCTGAGGGCTAAACTAGCATACTGCCCACCGAGGGTGCTTAAATGGTCGCCGCGGCCAGCAAACCGCCCGTCGAGGGCTAAACCAGCTGACAACCCATCGAGGGTGCGCAAATTGCCATCGAGGGTACGCAAATTGCCACCGAGGCCAGCAAACTGCCCACCGTGGGCCGATATTATCTTGCCCGTCGAGGCCACACAAACGGCCACCGAGGCAGCCAATCGCCCACCGAGGGCTCACACGACTGCCTGGCATCAGGCGTCACAACATACAGACATAATAGGAGGCCGGTTTGCCCCAAAAATATAGTAGTCCTAGAAACCATGGCATCCTGTTCCACGCAACCCACGACGAGCTAGCTTTGTGGCCACGGCTGCAAGTGCAGCGACTTACTCACAGTAATACCGTGCCCGCGCAGGCATACACACATACGTTCTCATGGTTATCATGGCGAGAGCCGCTCACTAACTTACAAGCTAGGCTGCCTGCCGCAGGTAATGTTCGCATGCAGAGCTTCTCCAGCGGCCTGCCGGCTTTATTTGCCATTCACATGCCCCATGCTGCGCCATGAGTGAAGCGCCACCGATACGCATGGAGTGAGAGCTGACCTCGTTCGTCCTTAGGGCTAGCTGCAGAATCTTGTTCAGTTCCTCCTTGGTCAGAAACCGGCCAAACACAAACACAAACACTGGCTCCATCGCCTCTCTCTGACCCGCAAGGTCTAGATAGGCGGTCAGGGCACGCACAGGGCAGAAGTCGTCGCGCGTCTCGCGCAGCTGTACTTGGCTGCCGTCAACCAGCTGGGCTGTCTTCGTCACCCGCAAGCGGACGACTGCCGATGATACCTGGACGCTGATTTGCTGCCAGGTTACCGTGCGTGTGCTATCGACTCTTGTTGCATGCGGTGCCAAGAATTCACTCGCTCGCAGAAGGCCGTGGAACGCTGTCAAGACACTGGCCCAGATCATTGCGCGGTCCGACTCGCTGTAGTTGGACCGGAGTAGGAAATGCTGTAAATCGGCCAGATCTTGCCCAGTGAGACCTCTCCGCGTCGTGGTTGCGGGACCCTGCCTCCTCTCAAGGCCCTTGAGAACTGCAGAAAGGCGGACCGACTGCATACAAGTCACAGGAACACGCTTGCACAGCAAATGATACCGTACCGCTGACAAATACACACGCACAGTCGCCACACACCTCGTACAGGATAGCTAAGTAGCAAATAACACGATATCCTCATTGGAGGGTGCAAGGGGATTGACAATAATTATGTGTAACGCAATAATCATCGAAGGCATCAATGCCAGTAGAGAACAATCTCGCTGAGCGTTCCGACACTGGACCTGCTACAAGTGCATCAGCCTCAAGGCCTAGAGCAGCACGGTCCAGCAGGGGCATGGCACTGGCGAAGCAGCCGCCGTTGGTGCCAGTTGACGGAAGCGGGTCAGCCGTTATTAGTGCCAGCAATATGGCAGATATACAATATGAAATTGCGCCTAGCAGCAACAGCTAACATAAAGCGGATCAACGCCATGGCCTGCTTGTTTCTACATGAACCATTCTTCCAAGCTCAAACTACCGTCTCATTATCGCAATGAAACAACAGCTTCTTCCCTGCCCAGCACGGACCCCAAATGCAGCAAGCTAGACCAATGGGAACCATTTCCCTAACCAT